GTCAGTCTTTGTTGAATAGGAAGAGAATTTTATTTTCATTATCGTCTTCCAGCTGACTCTGAGATTAATATAGTGGGGACTATTGGAATCTCTTCACTAATTACTCCAGTGCTTTATACAAAATTTCAAGCAAAGAGAAACATCACAGACATAAGAACTGGAAGGACACTATAGAGACCTTCCTAGCCCAAACCTTTCGTTTTATAAATAAGGAATGAGAGAATCCAACAGTTAACTCAGCTCTAGTCTCTGAAATTTTCAATGCCCACAACATTTTATGTAGTTGTAGACAATGAATTTACAACTTAAAACCAACTGTACTATTATACAAAGCCCATTCTCAAACAACTGCTTTAGTTGGAGGTAGCAAAATGATAGTTACTTTCCAAAGTTATTTGAGCTATAACTTAACAATTTTCTAATAAAACCTTTAACCTAAGCAATTAACCAAAAAATGCTCTAAAATTCAAGATGCTTAGTCCATGAATTTAAATAAGATAGAAACCTAAAATAAGTGAGGGAATTTTATTTTAATTCTAGCCATTTCATTTTTTTTTTAATTGGCAGCAGCCTAATCAGGCTTGGAGAGCGTTCAGGAACCAATGAAAAGGGTTGTCAACTGAAAGGCCTTAGAGTATTTTTAATTAAAATCATTGGCAAAAAGAAGAGAGGCAAACCAATTTAACTACATTTCATGTATCAATAGGTCTACTAAATAATGCTTTGAGAATGGGTACAGTTAGAATGTGCATATAAAACATTTTATGGAGAGTAAAAATAGGATCTCTAAAAAATGAGAATGAACTCAGAAAAGAAAGGCACATAAAGACATTTTCATCTTAGTACTTTTGCATCTCTCTATCTCATTTTGTGTATTATGAAAACATATTATCTTCAACCATAGTTTACATTACTCATGTATGGCAAGAGTTTCAAAACTCTCAGCAGGACATAAATGATATAGAATAAACATATACATAAATAATGATCAGTTTTTCTATTTGGGCATCCATGAATATAGACACAGACATACATAGCTTAAACATGTATTCTCATGTTCAAGGAGAGGAAAATTCTGAATATATTAAATTTATCTTTAATATACTTGTGCTATAGCTCAGAACATTATGAAAATGGTCATTAGGAATATAGCAAAACATTCACAAAATAGGAATCAGAACTATGAACTTATATGAGTCATAGAATGTTCCTTGTTCCCGACAAAGAAGATATTTTACTCTGTTAAAAAAAATCACAAAACCACAGAACTTTTGGACTTATCTAGATATATTCTTATATCTAAACACCTGATGCCAAGTTTAATAAAAATTACCATAATAAATTATAAAGCACATGAATAATATACCCTTTCTACAGTATATACGATTTCAGTTAAATGGGGGGAAATGTTTCAAATCTTTTAAACTACATTTAAGTTTAAAGTATAACTATAATGAATTTTTGACTATCATATTTCCTAATTCTAATCAAGATAAAAATATTTCATCAGGGTCACGGCAATTAGAAAAAAAATAACTGTAAATTTCAAGAAGCATATTTATAAAAAATTTGGAGGAAACAGAGGGTCATTTAAGTATTTAAATAAGTCAGCCCAGGGTATATTCATTTGCTCTCTTTTGTCATTTTGAGCATCCACATAGCAAGGGTTATTATTCTTTCTAACTTTTGGAAACAGAAGGTATTTCTATTTTCTTAGGCTGCTTTCTCATCAATTTAAGCATCCTCAGCTTGTGTCCAGGTATTATTCAAGCTAAACTTGACTTTGAAATGTAAGAGAGCAGCCTTCACAGTTGATTTTTTTTCATGTTTTGATCTTTTGCCACGCTACTGTTTCATAAGGTCAAAATCCCTCAAAGCTTTGACCTGAATAGCAGTCAAATTTTCGGGCACACAGTGTTCTTTCTATGAGCACAATCAGATGCCTTGTCATCTCAGTCACAATTCCTATATCCTACTGGATTTTAACCATTACCAGAACTTTGCTCATTCTTTATACCAATCATTTAAAAGGATTTTCCAAAGACTGTGTATATCATGTCAGTAATGGGACTTATTTTTTTTTCCACAAACATGCTGGGAAATATGCATACAAGTGAGTTTTGTTCTTTAAAGTCATAATCTTACCCTCAACATTCTTGGAATTCTTATGTAATTTTGATCAAGTTCAATCTGACATTCAAGAAAGAAAATCAATGGCTTTTTTTAGTTGTAAGATACTATTTCTTTATTCACTCTCTCTATCTTCTTTTAATTTCTCTTTCCCTGGGTAGCTTCCTAAGAAGCTATCTTCCTAAAAGCCCCAAACCTCCCAGCAATGACTTGGATTGGGCATATGGTAGTGAAATTCTGGGAAAAATCAGTGAGCAAAAACTGAGCCATGAGCTTAACAAAGGCTCAAGCTTAGTGTTATAGGAAGCAACTTGCCTAATATAAGTCCATTTATCTGTTTCTCATCTGGTATAGGACTGCATAACTGTTGGAAAATGAAAACAAAAAGACGTCATAGTGAACCACGGCAAGCAATCCAGATTCACTAAACAATATGCCTTGCATCTCACGAGCATCTTTTTTTTCTCAAAATGCTTTCAGGTTTATGACTTTATTTTATCCTCATCACATCCCAGTGAGCAACTAGAGCAGATATATGTTGTAATGTATGTTGGACATCATTTTATAAAGAACTATATGAACCAAAGCTAGTATGCTCCTACAGATTTAGAAAAGTTCCAAAATAAGAGGTTAAGTAAGTTGTCCTAGGTAGGGGTCTCATAACTTTTAGGCTATTAAAAATAAGGCTTCTAAGTTTTTTCTTACCAACTAGCATAATCAAATCACATTTTGATGAGATGCACAACTTTCTTCAGAAAGTAGTCTCATTCCAAGAGAATGAGCATATTTAAACACTGCGTTGCTAGGAAGGTCTCCATTCTGCCCATTTCAGGCAGCATTGTGGACAATCAGAATGTGGGAATCGGCACATATGTCATTCTCTTGCTTATTCAATGTTTTCTAAAAGTATGCTCAGCAGACTGTATCAAAGACTGCATGCAGATTACTGGCCTACTGAATGAGATTTTCAGAGCACAGAGTCTAGGACTATGCATTTTAGTCGGTTTCCCAGGGGATGATTACACAGACTCAAGTTTGGAAACCACCACTTATGATGCAAGTGAAGGAGAATATGACCTACTGTTAAGTTACAACTCCACAAATATATTACTTTAAAGGGATGCATTTCAAAACAACTTTCTTTATAAAGTAATGCCAACCCTTCTCAACATGGTAGCTAATCATTTCCCAGCAGCGTCTACGGAATTAATGGGTATATGTTGGAATGATATCATCGTTGGTTTAAAAAGTATCAAATTTTCTAATGCCTTAGGTATTTATCACATAGACGCCAACAGTATCGCAAAGTCGCCATGGCCAGATCACATATAATAAGAGGAATCATGATCTGTAGTAAAATCACTAGTAGATCAAGTAACTGCTAAAATACATATTCAATAAAAAGTGAAATTTTTATTATTGCCCAATGATTGCATGGGAAATGACTGCAATTTATACTCCTTCAAATTTTCAATTTAAATATGAATTTGATGTTAAAAGGAAGATTGAACTGTGATGGAAAATCATGTATGTTGGCTGGTCATATTTGCTTAAATCTAAACAATACTTCTGGAAATAATACTCCAAACTTTATTTCTTCATCTTTCAACAAACATTTCCTAAGAGCTACTTAACAGATGTCAAGTCTCAAGAAAAAAAATTCCTTGCACTATCTCACAACAGAGGAAATACACATCTAAAGCTATTGAGTTTGGTCACTGCTTTAACAGAGATGTGTGCATGGTGCACTGAGCTATGAATTGTGACCAATTAGTGAAAGTTAGTCTCTACAATGCAAAATGGTATGGCAGAATATGTTAAATACTATTATACATAATGTTAATATTTTGAATGATTATCCACGATTCTACCATCTAACAATATCAGATAATAAAAGCTTCTACTTTAAAAATACTCCCATTTTCTTGGGGCTGGCCCAATGGTATAGCAGTCAAGTTTGTGTGCTCTGCTTTGGTGGCCTGGGGTTCGCAAATTCGAATCCCAGGCACAAACCTATACACCATTATCAAGCCATACTATGGCAGCACCCTACATACAAAATAGAGAAAGACTGGCACAGATCTTAGCTCAGGGACAATCTTCCTCAAGCAAAAAGGTGAAGATGGGCAACCAATGTTAGCTCAGGGCCAATCTTCCTCACCAAAAATAAAACACACACACACACACACACACACACACACACACACAAACCCATTTTCTTTAAATTACCAAAACTTTTAAAATTCTTAACATAAAACCTCATTATGACACTACAAGCGTAGGTTAGATATTTTCCTAATCTACAGCCTATAGTGTTAGTGTAACTGAGCCACATTTGTGATTTTATGAATCAACAGTCTGTGGCAAAAAGTGTAATGATTAGATCCTCACTTACACTAATAGAAAGAGGTCTTTAGTAAAATCATAGGACCTGGGCCTTAGCTCTGCTCCTATTTCTAACTTTCATTGGACATTTCCTCCCTAAGTTCCATTTTTCTCATATGTAAAATGTAGGAGTCAACTAATGGCCCTCATGGTTCTAGGAAGGTATGATTTGGGGTTAGATTGTGATGACACATTTCCCTAGCATTTTCTCCAACTGCTCTAAGCCACTCAGACCCCCATTCCCATTGAACTGGAAGGGATTACACTCTAAGGCAGTAACTAGTTCAGTCAATCAGCACTCAATCCTCCACCTCTCCCACATTATCTAATATCAAGACAACCAAGATAACCATGTTTTTATTCAATTGAATACTTAGCAAGGACTAATCCAGTGACAACCTTTGTAGGGTTATAGTATTGCTCTCTTAATGCAAATTTCAACACTCTCAAGGATAATTTATTGTGGGATAATTAGTGTCACTAACCTGTGCTGAACTCTTTTCAAGTTTTTGGACTAAATTATCCCAGCGCTGGGCAAAGCTGTCGAGCCATGCTTCCATCTTTTGGGCTACTGATGTATTTTTCAGTGTTGAAAGAAGATCTTGGTTGAGTGAGCAGAGTTTGTCCATGGTTTGCTTTTTCTTTTCTAGATCTGTTTTTAAAACCTGTTAAAACAAGGAAGAACACAGAATAAGCCTAGGTCACATTCTATAAAACACTATAGTTTAATTTGCTTTTGCATGTATTTTCTCATTTGTATTGATAAAGAAGGATTACAATCATATCTGCAAAGGATCAAGAGCCCATAAACGTATAAGTAGAAAATTATAATCCAAATAATCCCAAGAAGTTCCCAAGAAGTTCAAAGAGAAAGAAACAAAAGTCAGATGTAGAATAAACACCTAGTAGAGGCACTTACGAGCTACCTTAAAATATTTGAAAAACTGCCAAGAGAAAAAGTAGTCTTGCTTCAAAAGGTAAAACATCAGTTTGCATTCCCACCAGCAGTGTATGAGCATTCCCTTTTCTCCACATCCTCTCCAACGTTTGTTGTTGTTTGTCTTGGTAATTATAGCCACTCTGACCAGTGTAAGGTGATATCTCATTGTAGTTTTTATTTGCATTTCCCTAATAATTAGTGACGTTGAGCATCTTTTCATGTGTCTTTTGGCCATCTGTACACCTTCCTTGGAAAAATGTCTGTTCATTTCCTCTGCCCATTTTTTGATCAGGTTGTTTGTTGTTGTTGTTGCTGAGTTGCACGTGTTCTTTATATATTTGGGAGATCAACTCCTTGTCTGATAAATGACTTGCAAATATTTTCTCCCACTTGGTGGGCTGTCTTTCCATTTTCTTCATGGTTTCCTTTGCTTTGCAGAAGCTTTTTAGTCTGATGTAGTCCCATTTTTTAAATTTTTCTTTTGTTTCCCTTGCCCAAGTAGACACGGTATTCGAAAAGATGTTGCTAAGACCAATGTCAAAGAGTGTACTGACTATATTTTCTTCTAGGAGTTTTATGGTTTCAGGTCTTACATTCAAACCTTTAATCCATTTTGACTTAATTTTTGTGTATGGTGCAAGATAATGGTCTACTTTCATTCTTTTGCATGTGGCTGTCCAGTTTTCCCAACACCCTTTATTGAAGAGACTTTCCTTTCTCCATTGTATGCTCCTGGCTCCTTTGTTAAAGATTAACTGTTCCTAGATGTGTGGTTTTATTATGGAGATTTCTCAAAAAGTTAAAGATAGAAACACCATACGATCCAGCTATCCCACTACTGGATATTTATCCAAAGAACTTGAAATCAATGATCCAAAGAGATTTATGCACTCCTATGTTCATTGCAGCACAATTCACAATAGCCAGGATATGGAAACAATCCAAGTGCCCTTCTACAGAGGAATGGATAAAGAAGATGTGATATATATCTATATCTATATCTATATATATATACATATATATAGATATATGTATATATATATATATATATACACAATGGAATACTACTCAGCCATAAAAAAGGACTAAATTGTCCCATTTGCAACAACATGGATGGACCTGGAGGGTGCGATGTTAAGCGAAATAAGCCAGAGACAGAAAGACAAATACTGCATGATTTCACTCATATGTGGAAGATAACAAATACATGGATAAAGACAACAGATTCGTGGTTACCAGAGGGGAAGGGGCTTGGGGGATTGGCAAAAGGGAGAAAGGGGCCCATGTGTATGGTCATGGATAAAAATTAGACTACTAGGGATGAGCACAATGAAGTGTATTCAGGAACTGATAAACAATAATGTACACCTGAAGTTACACAATGTTATAAACCATTATAATCCCAATAAAATTACTTGAAGAAAAAAAAGGTAAAACAGAGATCAACATACAGAAATCAGTTTTTAACATTTGGAGGTGTTCTAAAGTGGAAAGCATGGCTCTTGGATACTAGTGAATTTCCTCTTAATTCCTGATAGAATTCAAATGAAATTCTCCATGCTAGGAGTCCTGAGGAGAAGATGCTGAACTGAGAAGATGATCATGGCTAAGGGTCCTTCCCATTCTGAAATGCTATTATTATTTGGATAAATTTGCAATATTATTTATTTCCACAATTTTTACATTCTTTTCATTAATTATATATAAAAACTGTGCTGTGCAGTTTGCTGACTTTTAAATTTTTTAGCATGTGTTATTCAATTAACATTCGGCTATTTGAGTAATTGTCTTCTAAAGCTGATTTTAGAGCCCATTAAGTAATAGAACTAAGTAACTGAGTATGACACAAATCTTGGAATCGCTGCATGTTTTCTAAATACTTATATGGTTTATGAAGTAATTTTTATACCATTCATATTTCAAAAGTTCCTGTGAGCTATGAGGGTGACACATGACCTTTGGTTGATATGGAATGAAAAAACAAAGTGGCTTGTGTGAAATCAGTAGATCAGGGCAGCTTATCCTTTCACTTTATCCATTAACATCACCCCATGCTTTGGGAAATCCATTTTCCAGCTCCCAAATACTAGTCCCAGACTTAATTTATAAACACAGAATAAGAAGAAAGAAAGGAGAAAATTATTTTACAGCCCCTTAACATCCCCTCTTTTTGGCAGTAGCAAGTACAACGAAAATAGACTAAACTGTGAGACCTTCCCTTCCAATACAAATGCAAGTTTACTTAAGAACAAGTAACAGTACATACAGCAAAGAAATTGTCATGAAACAGATGCACCAATTGCTCATGAACTGAAGTATCATCGACACAGAGAAATCAATATACCCGCCTGCAAAGGACACTTTATGTAGCTCATTGTGGCATGCCACCTGCATTGATAGCTGTGAACTGCAGAATGCTCTCGTGTCTCCTTCAATTAGTTCATCCTTTATTCAGAATTTGCTTCACCTGGTGTACTTTATATTGCAGTCTTACTGCGTGCCATTTTTAGGGAATAAAAGGAAGTTTTGAAATTCATTTCTAATTTTCCCTTGATTATTTTTTTCTCAATTTGAAAGAATGCAATAGACCAAAATATTAGTTAAGATACATAAGTTAAATTTATATTAAAATAAAACTCAGTGTGGGAATTTAGTAATAGACAGGTTTTATATATTGATTTTCTTTGTTTAATTCACATGTTAGCTTTCCATTAAATTTTAGTGCATACCTGGACTAGTAGCAGAACAACAGTTTATGCTACCTGCCTAGAGCTGGGACTCAAATTTGTATTTCAACGTAAATTCCTACAATTCCTTTATAGTGTCTCATTTTCCTTTTTTCTTTATTAAGTTTTGGCATGCATTTATTTTGCTGGAAGCCTCCTCAATTTCTTTTTTTCAAAAAGGCATGATAGAAATAAAGATATACATTTTAAAATATAAAGATGTAAATACAACCCTCTTTGGTTGACTTTCTCAGAGTTTAAGGAACTATTTTAAATAGCCATATGTGTAAGGCTAAGGGGTGTACCCAATATTTAAGCTAAATATGTCATATCTGGAAACATTTCAGAATGAGGGTCTGAGAGTTATGTTTGAAAAAGGTTGTGTTGGAAATTTATGGATAACCTCATGTTACCTAAACAGGTTTTCTTAGATGATCTATAAAACTAATTGGATACCCAAAGAGATTTAGTGGCAAATGAAACTAAGCCTCCTAACATTAAACCAAGTGAAGAAGCATTTGGTGAGCATTACAAAAATAAAGGTGAAAGTTGCCATTAAAGGATACAATTAGGAAAAATGCACTCAAGGTAAAGTAGAAACAACATTATTATGAAACTGTGGAATTATCAAATCAATATATTTTTACCTAAAGCTATATCACAAAACACTGCACTAACCAAAGCTTCCATCTAGTAAATTCTAGATCTGGGTTTTTTAAAATGGTGATGGAAGATTAGTTGTTCCCCTCAATTAGTTTCCTCTTGTTTGCTCTCTCTCTCCCCCTCCATAATCTCCTAGTTCCTGAAGGACTCTCCTACCATAACTAACAGAGGGAGAAGATGGGAAATCATGGTGATGCCAGAGACATCAAATCATAGTGATGAGTTATCTTCTCTCATTTATCCTTGGACATCAATTCTTTTAAACTCAGATTTTATGTGTGCATATTAAATTACTATTATTTAATTGTTACTAATTATTGGAATATAAAAAATACGTCTTTCTGCATATCAAGAATTGATCATAGGTCCTTGAATGCCAAAGAACCACAGAGCTCTAGAAAACTCAGGAGGCAGAAGTAAGCTCTAGAAACCTTGTACAAAGCAGGGGTCAGCTAGGATTTTAAAAGAAAAAATACATTTTATTTACATAGAAGCCAGGCACCTGGACCTACCTCCAAGGTAGGCAGGAAGGTACAGTCAATAAATCAGATTGAGCCAGTAGTAGAAATGGGCAAGAGACAGATAAGCTGCTCAAGAAGACAGAGTAGACATGTTCCACCTGGTCAAGGTCAGAAGATGATTTGAAGTGAAAAAAGAATGTATACTTAGAAAATGTTCAGGAAATTTTCACTCTATTCTCATCAGAAGTATGCTTCAGAGAATAATGCCAAGACAATTTCACTTACAAAAGCAAAGCTGAATTCTGTACCTATTTTACGTGTATTACTTAACTATATGTAAGAAGTACTCCAATTCATTCTAATTACTTGTTGTACTTGGGTAGATTGATGCATTGCAGGGTTCTCAACTTGAAGGAACATCAGAATCTCTTGGAAGGCTTGTTAAAATGCAGATTTCTGGGCCCTACTTCCAGACTTTCTGAGTCACTAGGTCTGGGATGGGATCTAAGAATTTGCATTTCTAACAAGTTCCCAGGTGAGGCTGATGCCTCTGATCTGGAGATCACAGTTTGAGAACCACTGATTCTACTTGGATGAATTCTTTGAGGGTGATCACAGGAGTCGAGGCAAAGGTAGCAAGTCCTGGTAGAACAGCACTGTCAACAGCGACCTGCTGAGCTCCCATAAGTACTCTCTCCCTTCCATTTGATCCTGCAGCCACTTGAGAGGTCCTCAATTCCACAGTACTCCTGTAGGCCCTGAACACCACACTCTCTTAGATTACCATGCTTCCCAGAGTTGTCTTTCCCTGGCAAACACCACCAGTCCTCACAGCAGCAGCAGACTTCCCCAGGAACATATTTCTTGTAGATTTGGGCCTTCCCACGATAGCTTACATAAAAGCTTCTACAAGTCTTAGAATTCATCTCATAAGGACCACAGTTTCTTCTCTCCTTTTCTTTTCATCCTTTTACACCAAATAAAAACTCAGTTTTGACCATAAGAAAACAGTATACCTACATGATTTGAATAAAACCACAGATTTAGAAGAAATGAAATAACTGACTCCTCATCTCCCACCTCAAAGGAAAAGTAGGAGAAAATCCCATGGGTTATTAGTGATAATATTTCTAAACAAATTACACTGATTGTAAATAAAAGAGAGTTTTAGCACACTGGATCTATACCTAGGTATGTAGTAGGAACTGGTGACAGATGGTACCTGTTTTGGGTCTCAGATTGTGACATACTTTAATGAACATTAAATTCTTATTCACTGCCTGAGTCAGCAGGGGAATTTTACCTCAAATTCTAGACCAGCTGTCAGGTTTTGTTAATTGGCTTAACCCATCAAATGGTAAGACTTATACAAAACATATTTTCACTTTGTTCACAAGTAAGGTGACATAATTTGAATTTTAATCATATTGAAAAATTATTGAGACTTTGCTAAGAGAGCATTTTCAGGGCCTTGAGGCTAGTAAAGTGTTTTACTCATGAAAATGTCAACATAGTGGCACATGAGTGTTCAAAATGACAGTTCTCGATTGCCATATTTTTTGTCAAGGAATCAAATAATACGAGGAGTTTTGAAATAGCTTAAAAGGCCTTGATCTGAGTCTGGATGTCTGGGTGTTCATTTTAACTTACTACTAATGTTCTGTGACGCCTTATACATGTCACGTGTTTTTTCCCTGGACTCGATCTCCTCTTCTGAAATAACTTTGTCTCTCTCCTCCTCTTCATGCCCAATGCTACTTAGTTCACATCTGCTAATTGGTCTCCTTATTACCAAAGATCTTACTGCCAAAGAGTATTCCAAAAATGCAAAAATGATTGTTATCAAACTTTCAATGGCTCTCCATCACCAGAACAAAATTACAAATGTATCACTGGTATTTTTGCATTTTTTGATACATATATAGACTGCTTTTGTGAAATCTGTCTTTAGCAGTCACATCACTCAAGAATATTCTTTGAGGAACGATTTCTTCTCAATAATAAGCAAGCCTGTAATAACAAGTAATACATAAGTGAATCTATTTTAAATTAAAGGTCTAAAGATTAGTAACGATGGAGCAAAAAAAGTATGACACAAATAAATATTTGGTAAAATGGTACAAATTTAACTGGGGAAATTTATTTAAGGTTAGCTTTAAATAAATGATTTAATTACTATGAAGTGTAATACATAATATCAATACAGATATAAATAGATTCACTTGGGAAAAATTGTGATACATGATTTCCAATAGGCCTTTGCTTTATATTAAAGGTGACATCAAGTTAGCATTTAATAGAATTGACCTATCAAAAATCAAAAAGAAATCCTAATTATGCAATATTTTATTTTAAAAATTAAGGTCAATATTAGATTGGCCTCTCCTTCATTGGAAAATGATAGAAGTCACAGTGGAAGGGAAGTTTTAGAGATCTTTCTCAATCCTGTAATGTTCAACTCAAACTGAAATGTCTTAGTGAAGCCTTCCTTGATGTCCTTTTACTGCCAAAGTTCCCTCATTTCTCAAAACACACAAGCTCTTATAATCAATGTCATTTAGTTTGCTTTAGTGTTTTTTCCTGTTTTCCAAACTAGGGTATAAGCCCCTTATATGTGAGGATAATCATCTCTTATACTTCTCATATTTCTCAGAGAATCAACTTACACCTATGGCTTTAGAACTATACTGTTTAGAAATTTACAGAATGTTCACATGTACTTCTTAGTGTTACTTTTTTATTTTAACTGAAGTCTTATTCCAGGTATGCTATATTTTTTCTTTTTCCTCCCTCGGTTTTTTTTTTGTTTGTTTGTTTGCTGAGGAAGCGTCACCCTCAGCTAACATCTGCTATATTTTTTCTTCTCTCTCTCTCTTTTTTTTTTTTTTTGCTGAGGAAGAGTCACCCTCAGCTAACATCTGTTGCCAATCTTCCTCTATTTTGTATGTGAGCTGCTGTCACAGTATGGCCACTGAGATGGGTGGTGTAGGTCTGCACCCTGAAACTGAACGCAGGCCACCCAAGTGGAGCATGCCGAACTTAACTACAAGGCCCTATTTTTTCAAGAGTACAATTTTGTTTGAAAAAACAAAGTTGAAAATCTACCTATATCTTTTGGAATTAATGTTTGTATCCCTCCAAAATTCATATGTTGAAGGCCTTATCCCCCAATGTGATAATATTAGGAGGTGGGGATTTTGGGAGGTAAATAGGTTTAGATGAGGTCAAGAGAATAGAGCCCTCATGATGGGATTAGTGCCCTTAAAAGAAGAGGAAGAGACATCACAGCTGCTTCTATCTCCACCATGTGAGGATACAGCAAGGAAGTACTGTCCAGAAGCCAGGAAAAAGGCCTTGCTAATAACCAAATCTGCCAGCACCTCGATCTTGTGCCTCCCAGCTTCCAGAACTGTGAGAAATATATGTCTGTCGTTTAAGGCACCCAGTCTATGGTATTTTGTTATAGCAGCCTGAGCAGACTAAGACAGGAATTGGTACTAAGAGGTGGGGTATTGCTGTAACAAATACCTAAAAATGTGGAAATGGCTTTGGAATTGAGTAATGGGCAGAGGCTGGAAGAGTTTTGAGATGCATGTCAGAAAAAGTCGAGATTTCCATGAAGGGATTGCCAAAATCAATTCTGGTGAGCGCTCAAAGAGAAAAGGGAGAACTACAGAGAAAGCTTCCATCTTTTTAAAGAATAAATAAATAGTCTTGAACAGAATGTTGGTATAAATATAGATGGTAAAGGCCATTCTGATGAGGTCTCAGGCAGAAATAAGGAAAATATTATTGGACAATTGAGATAAGACCATTTTTTTAATAAAGTGGCAAAGAACTTGACTGAATTGTGTCCATGTTCTAGAGTTATGTGGAAGGGGCAACTTGTGAGTGATGGAATTGGATATTTAGCTAAGAAATTAGCTATCCTTAGGAGATATCTAAGCAAAGTGTTAAAGGAGTGGCATGGTTTCTTTTGACTGCTTATGGTTAAATGCGAGAAGAGAGAAATGAATTGAAGAAGGAATGGTTAAGCAAAAATGAACCAGCACTTACAGATTTGGAAAATTCTCAGCCTATCCATACTGCAAAAAATGAAAAGCATGTTCAGAAGAGAACACTAAGGGTATGGCTTACCAATCAGTTGATAAGGAAATTAGTGTGAGTGTGAACCAGAGACTTAATCAGCCATCTCATCAGAAGCCAGGAATAGAGATGGGATTATACCAGCAGAAACTACCAGCTGGGACAACGGAAACAGAGAAAAATTGGACAGATGGAAGGAAGGCTTCAAACATGTGCTATTCCTCAAGAAAAGGGAAGAATGATGTAGGTGATTCAGAGATCATCAGGGCTGTCACTCCCACCACAGGCCCAGGGGACAGGGCTAGTTCTTCCTGGGTGGAGAGGGGGGCAGGAGGACCCATCCTGTGCCTCAGGAGAGGGGCTATCACAGAGAGTCCTGAGGGTTGCTGCAGAGAGCCACTGTGGACGTGCCCTGTGGAGGTGAAAGGCGAGGCAATCTTTTGGAGCCCTGGGGGTGATGCTGCCACTCCGGTGGTCCTGGAAGGCAGGACATGGGTCCAAAGAGGATTATTCTCTGATCTTTAAGATCTAATGGAATTTTCCTTGCTATGCTTTAGACTTATTTGGGACCTATCATCCCTTCCTTCTTTCTTATTTCTCCCTTTTGGAATGGCTATGTCTCTCCTTGGCCTATGCCATCATTGTATTTTCGAAGCACGTGACTTGTCTGGTTTCACAGGTTCACAGCTGGAGAGGAATTTGGCCTCAGGATGAATTATACCTAGAGTCTTACTCATATCCGATTTAGATGGTGATGAGACTTTGGACTTTACACTGTAGAGATACTGCTGGAACCAATTAAGATTTGGGGGGGGGGGGCTGTTGGGATAGAATGAATGTATTTTGCATGTGAGAAAGACATGAATTTGGAGGGGCCAGGGGTTTAATGTTATGGACTGAATGTTTGTGTCCCCACAAAACGCATATGTTCAAACCCTATCCCTCCAAGGTGATAGTAATTAAGAGGTGGGGCGTTTGGGAGGTAATTAGGTTTAAAGGAGGTCATGAAGGTGGAGCCCCCATGATGAGACTCATGCCCTTATGGGAAGAGGAAGAGACACCAAAGTTTCCTCTTTCCACCATGTGAAGATAAAGCAAGGAGGAGCAGTCTACAAGTCAGGAAGAGGGCCTCACCAAGAACTAAATCTGCTGGCATCTTGATCTTGGACTTTCCACTCTCCAGAACTGTGAGAAGTAAATGTCTGTTGTTCAAGTGACCCAGTCTACGGTATTTCGTTATAGCAGCCTGAGCTGACTAAAATACTATAGGTTTCCCTATTTTAATTAAGAAAAGTAACAACATGATATCATTGAAGACTATGGTCTAAGCAAGAACAATGAACATTTGGTTTAAGATTTGAAGGAAGAGAAAGACCAAATAGGGTGTTAACATAAACTATTGGGTTTTTAAAAAATACCATTGAAAGCTAAAAAATACATACGGCCAGCTTTTGAAGACTGTATAACATTTCACTTTGATCCTTAAAGCCAGTTGTGTGAATCTTGTTCACTGCATCTTCTTTTTCTGAAAGCCATGTACTAAAAAGGCACTGAAAGAAATCAAATAATTCCAAAAAAATAATTATCATTAAATAGATCATCTCATTTTTTTCATTTATCCATTTAACATCTCTCCATGTCTTTCACTGATAGTTTCCCCCACATGACTCACCTGTTCTTCAGTAAAACGTTGCCATTTTAGAAGGATGTCTTGTAAAAGAACCCAGCGATCTTCTGTCCACCTACAGATGTTTGCCCACCGATCTCCCAGGACCTGGGGAAGAGACAACCCACCACAACGTCAACAAACAATTAATTGTTAACTGAATTTCCTTAAAAATGGCATGAATGATTAGGGAAAGTATCTAATTTTGAGACTCTTATATATGCTAGGAGTTGTAAAGGCCACCCTTCCTGCTTCTGCTTGTAATTAGATAAGCATTGCACCTTTGATTTGTCTTTAGATTTTCTCACTCACTCTTTCACCTTACATTGAAAAGCAAAGATACTTAGAAGAAGTCTAAAGCAGTTATCATACCACTATTTGAAATGCTTCTAAAGTAAATCTAAGTTAGCAAAGATATAAATATAGAATTAAAGAGAAGTTTGCACTCATAACATGTAAAATGTGTATCTTTCTTAGGTCAGAAAAAACACCCCAAAGAATAAAAGTCTGACTACTAAGTAGTATGCCTAAAAATAATCTTATTTGAAGCAGTCCTGTATAATTAGAATTACTTAATGTCTTGTTTGTAAAAGAAAACTTTTAGTGACTTGAATTGTATCCATATGTGGATTTTAAAAATTATCTGGATTATTATTATAAAGTATTTAAAATCACTATATCTCTAAACAATTCTAGTGGAAAAATTGTAACATTCCCTGAGTAATAACTGTCATATCTTTAGCATGTCGCTAATGCCTATGTGTATACACTATTTTAATATGTAACATAAACCAAGTACCAATGGTTCTAGATGAAAAAATGTTGTGATGATTTCTGTGCAAAGGGATTGTTTTAAGATGAAAAAATGTATCATTTCAACTCCATCATGATGCACTTCAGACCCTAAAATTTAAACTTTTTTGACTTTCTCATAGATAAGAAAATTATTTTCCCATAGCTATTGGATTTTTAAAACTAGAAGTATCTCAAAATATGGACATGTTTTATTTTTGTGTAGAATTAAAGCTAGAGAAAAAAGTTTGTAACTCATGTTTTTTACACACCTATTTCATATCTAATTTCTACCTTACTTGATGCTACATGTTTAGATTGATCCACTTAGAAGATATTAATAAATGAATCAAATGATACATATGTAATTAACATCATGAAAAAATCCACCTATTAGTAGGTGGCTCAGAGACTCATTTAAATTTTTAAAAATTTGTTTAATCTACCATCTTTTCAAAAAGGGAGTCCCATGCATGGGTAAGGAGTAAGCAATACATATTTTACTACAGTATGAAAATGATCATGTTCTCACATGCAGCTGAGTCACAAGTGAGTTTTTAGTTTTTCTTCAGAAATGTCAATAAAAATGTTATTGCTTTTAGCATAATGTAACTGATTTTCATATTTTTTATAGTTTCACTCTCTGCTCGACTCCTTTTGAATTACACTAGTTTATGACAGAAGCCATAGCCCTGAAATAGCAATGGAGGATACCCAGAGGAAATGTGCTAACATAAATCAATGAATTCAATATTAGCCATTTAATTATTACAACCAAGTCCTTGGGATTTTTTTCTAAAACATATTAGAAGTTATTTTAGTGAACTTCCTAGTGACCATGTCAGTATGCATCAGGTAAAATGGCATGCAACATATCTGTTAATGGATTAGTTGTGAAAAAATTAGCTTCCAACAGAGACAACCTTACCCCTTAGCCATAAACTACACCATCTGCCTGATTTGAGGATGTGATACAAAAGGTCAAATTGTGCGATGTTTATCGCAGCTCTCCAACCCCAGTAGAGATAGGAGTCAAAGGGGAAAGGGATAAATTCAAACTATAGCATTGTTTTCATAAATGTAAGAAAATGAACTGAGACTTGTAAAAAGATATAGCATCTTTTCCCTAGTGCTATAAGACACACAAAGAAAGTGTCCACTGAAGTAGCATCTTAGGTTTGTAATCTCATAGAGGAACATTTACAAGTTATTAATTCTAATACAACATCCTATAAAACAAATCCAAATAAAGACCTCCACATACTAGATTGCTTAAGATTATTAAATTTAGAGAAATTCCAAAATATATTAATGCAATATACATTACACTATAGTTTTTTTCACTATATGAATGAGTCACAGAAAACTAAGGATGATTATTCCTTTAGGCACAGAGTCAACCTACTTAAGACAACTATTTTAAGAATGTTATTAAAAGTGTCCTTTGTATTCAAATAATGATAACAGATAATTTTGATAATTCATTAAGCAGGTTTATAACGCAGCCAATACTTAATTTAAATTATAGTGATTGGTAGTCTCCAATTCATTCATTCATCAATCATGGGTTTATTTAAACAATAAATATTTATTGAACATGTACTATGTGACAAAAATAAACAGAATAAAGATGTTATGGGCTGAACTGTGTCTCCCTAAAATTCATATATTGAAGCGCTATCCCCCTCTACTCCAGAATGTGACTATATTTGGAGATAGGGCCTTTAAAGAAAGGACTTTTAAGTTAAAATGAGGCTGTTAGGGTGGGCTCTACTCCAATCTGACAGGTGTCCTTATAAGTGGGGGAAATTTGGACACACAGAAAGACAGCAGGGATGTGTGGGCACAAAAAAGAGACCATGTGAGGACATAGTCAGAAGGCGGCGGTCTGCAAGCCAAGGAGAAGCCTCAGAAGAAACCAAACCTGCTGATACCTTGGTCTTGGACTTCTAGCCTCTGGAACTGTGAGAACATAAGTTTCTGTTGTTTAAGCCACCCAGTCGTTGGTATTTTGTTATGGCAGCTCTGACAAACTAATACAAAAGATATATTTAAGAGAGGCTGATTCCATGGCGATACAAATTATCTCACAAAACTAAAGTTGTTAAAAGTAACAATGTACTTATTAGAGTATGAAAATTTTAGAGAATGTGTTTCAATTACTAGAGTAAAATTAACTAAAATTGTTCAAATACAGCAGATTTTTAATAATTTATTGCGACACAACTTCCCAAATACAAATACATTGTCATTTTGTGATTTTATGTTTTAATGTGGGGAAGATAAAAGTGTCTAGAGCTGGGGCAGCCCCATGGCCTAATGGCTAAGTTCAGTGTGTTCCACTATGGCAGCCTGGGTTTGGTTCCTGGATATGGACCTACATAACACTTTGCCGGCGGCCATACTGTGGCAGCAAACGCACACACAAAAAAGAGAAAGATTGGGCACAGATGTTAGCTCAAGGCAAATCTTCCTCAGCAGAAAAAAAAATTGTCTAGAGCCAAATAACTTGGATTCAATTCGTAGGTCAGTCAATTAGTTGGATTGCCAATATATATATGTCTTTTCAAACTACAAAACATTTAAAATACACAATTTTCTTATAATAATTCTGGCAATCCTTTGAGAGATTGGTATTATTATATATCCCTCCAATAAAATCAAGTGATTTTTTCAGGAAATTTTATGGCTGAATTATTTAATCTCTTGTGAAGAAAATAATCATACAAACCCCTAAAAGAATTGATACAAATATTAAACAAGATTATATTTTGGAAAGCAGTTTTAATTTGAACCAAGTTATAAAAGTTGGTGGTTATTTGCATTTCACTTCATCATGGTATTTATATCAAATTTTATAAGAACCACCAAGGGTCATCTATTTTACTGTAGTCACTCTAGAAAAGTACTTATTAAATCTTCACAAACAGATGTTTAGTCTTCAAGTATATTCTTCTTTAAAGATTTCCAACACAAGAGAGCATATATACCCTTTTGTAACATATTCCACTGCTTAAATCTAGCTTACCCTCAGAAAACTCTCATTGAACTGAATCTAAGTCACTTCTGTTACAATGTGGGCATGGTGCTTTTTACTGATCTCAGTAAAATGAGATAAGTGAATTAGAAATTGCTTGCTTGTGTGCTGTACATGTCTGACCACAGGGAGATTTTTGCAATGCTATATGCACAAATACAAATAGATGCACATAGTGCTTGAATTTATAATTTACCTGTTTATTGCTTGGACATATTGGTCCTAATTTGAATTACAATGGATGGAGCTAAGCAATTGAAAGGTTATCTGTCAGCTCTATAATCATTCAAAGATGCTGGTTCCTATCATTGCCTGGAGGGATGTAACCAAATTGTTAGACACGTATAAAGGATTGTATCGAATGGGATTGACAGGAAGCTAAATTTTTTTTTAAAGAATCATTATATTAGGATTAGAAACCTCTTCTTCAGAGAAAAAAATCAGTGTTTCTTGGAATTTCCATTTAAATGTATAAATCCCTTGAGCTTTTAGAAATAATGCATATATTTTGTAAATCTACGTAAACATGACACACAAATGAAAATGAATTACAATATCTCATAAACTGATAAGGAGAAATTAATTTTTATCTATGTCCTCATTTTGTCACAGCAGTAAGAGAAGCTAAAGGTCAGTTCACCTACTCTAACACATTTTCATGGGCTAAATCACAACTCCATTATCATCTATTCACAGATCCGCAACGGGGAGGATTTTTCCCTCCCATTTAATTCACATCTCATATTGTTATACATGCCAAGGACATTTCTCATTTGAGTTCCTTTGTTTGGTTGAGTTGGTTTTTCAAAGCAAAAGTGAAAAATGGCGATCAAAAGAACATTTGGATAGAGGCAACTGAAAAAATATGACAAGCCTGGGAGGTAAAACTTAAGTACCTTGACTCTTGAATTTATTGAAGCCAGTGACAGAATGTGAGAACTAAACTGTACCCAGCAAGATTGGCATTAAGAGATAAAGTTTTCCTAGGAGTATGTCCACCAAGAAAGAAACAATTACGTGCCATGGACCACACGATGCAGCAGCAAGTGGGGTTTATAAGAGACAGAGGCAGCAGCAGACCATCTCATTTTATTACAGTTTAAGACCCTGGAATATACTCCCCAGCTAAATTAATTTTACATGTAATGAGCCTTCTACAACATAACTTATTTTTTGATTTTTCTTTCTTACTTTATAAACAGCTATGCACTTAAAAAGGATAAGCAACTTCATTTTACCGATGGTGAAATGGAAATAATATCAAATAACTTATGGAAAG